AGGAATGCCATTTCTCTTTACACAGATCCCCTTAACGCCTCTGTGAGGATCTTTTCTGTGGTGGTTCTTTGATTCTTGTCACATCCAGGTCTTCTTCAGATTCCCATCTCTCATTGCCTTCTGGGGGAAATGCTAGATATTTTGGAAGTTCAATCTTCATCCTCCTCTTTTTAGCCCCTGACTTTGCATCTTCATCATCACCTGAAACAAACAGGTGTCTTGGAGACAGTGGGAGTATCTGCAGTGATGTCTCGTTAATGTGTCTTATGTTAATGTCTCCTTCCTTTTTGTGTTCACTCCTCCAGGACTGGAATCTGGTCACATCCCTGGTGCTGTGAACATACCCTTCCGCTCATTCCTAACGGAAACGGGCCACGAGAAGAGCATTGAGGAGATCCAACAAATATTCAAGGAGAAGAACGTGGATCTCTCCAAGCCGCTGGTGGCCACCTGCCGCAAAGGTGTCACGGCGTGTCACATTGCCTTGGCAGCCTACCTGTGTGGCAAGCGGGATGTGGCTGTTTACGACGGTTCCTGGTCTGAGTGGTTCCACCGTGCCCCACCTCGCTACAAGGTCTCTGAGCTGAAGCGCAACAAGGCCTAGAGGGACAGTTGTTTTGCGGGCGGCAAGGTGTAGCAGCTGTCTCCAGCCCAAGGTACAGGGAAAGAAAGGAGGTGGACGTAACAAAAAACCATGCTGATCTATAGTTTGCCATTTTTTCTAAGAATGATCAGTAGATTTCTATCAATCTTCCGGTTTCTCACAATTAATAAAATCTGCTTCTAACATGATGCACCTGTGAATGTTCTAATTCTTCTCTGTTGCCTGTGACCTGCTTGTGCTGGGTAGGCAAAGCAGCTCTGCAACATGAAGGAGAGTTGCACTTTTCCCTGGAGACTTGCAGAAATTCCGGTGGCTCCGTGGCGGAGCAGAATGCGTGAACAGCGCAGGGCCCAAATACACCACCGGGTGCTGGACACAGGAAGGCCAAGCTGTGGTTCTGTCACTGACTTGGTGTGAGGCCTTCTGCCAGCCCACCATCTCCCATTTTCTAACCTGAAAAATGGGGGCACCTTCCCCTTCCTCTCTGGTGGAGATCAGAGGTCATGTGAAGCATTTGGAGATGCCAGAAGAACTGCTTCTGCCAAAATAGTCTTGCTGGTTATTGTGACTGTGTTAGGAGTGTCTCCAAGAAATCCCCTGTATGTGATGAGAAGCCTTTTACTTTACTCCTTGTTTGTGTTTTTCAATCAGCAAGGATGACCCTGATCTCTGCCATGTTTCTTCTGGTTCCCATGGAGACCACAGCTTCTAGAGGGAGGGTTGTTCCCTAGCAACTGTCTCTGCTCTTCAG